AAGGTTTTGTGAGCAAGCGAGAGATGTTACGTGTAGTTTCAGGCATTTGTGTGCACAGGAAGGTTTTTGAAAGAGAAAATGAACAGACTCGTGAAGCTGAACTTATAAATTGTGCGTAAATGATCAGCATTTATTCAGGCTTGTACACATTCGGGGTGGCTGTGACTCAGGTGGTAGAGCAGGTCAGCTGCTGATTGGAAGGTTGGTGGTTCGATCCTTGGCTTCCCCAGTCTGCATGCCAAATGTCCTTGGGCAAGATATTAACCCCAAGAGTGTGAATGTAGATTAGTTTACACTTGTGTTTAGAAGTGCTTGTGTGAATGAGGCATGTTGTATACAGTGCTTTGAGCACTCTGGGAGAGTAGAAAAGCGCTATGTAAGAATCAGACCATTTTCATTTGTAAAATACTTGTGCTTTGTATTTGTGTGTGGATTGAAGCTTGTGAGTCCTCAAAAGTTACACACAAATCCATTTTTGCCCTTCTTTTTTTAAATACTTCACTATTTTCCTTTTTCTTTCTGCCGTTTTGTGTTGTTTCACTTTGAATTTGTTTAAAAGGAAAAAGCTGAAAATTTAAATAGTTAAAAGTTGTAAATAGTTGGTTCTTGTATTATATGATTTATTTATTACATTTTATGTGGAGTGAATAAATAAAAGTATATTTACAGTGGCCCCTACAGACAAAGCACGTACAAACTTCAAAGCACGTACAAAACACAACAGAAGTGCTCCAGGATGCTAGGGGGCAGTGTTGAGCTTTTGTTACCTAGTGGTTACACAAACCAGGAAGTACCAATGACCAGATTTGGTGTGTGGTAGTAACAGGTAAATTTTTTTTTTAAATTATTTATATTTACATATATATATATGGCTGTTCGATATAACGATATATATCAGATGACAATATAAAAATGTCTATTGTTTGTTTAGTGGTGTCGCAAAATAAACTGTTTACAGCAATATTTTTCATCGTTCTGATGGTCACTGTAGTGGCTATATTAATTTCTTAAAGTTCTCTTTCTCTTATATTTAATATAACCACACTACAGACAAACAAGCGCCTGTTTTTATGTGTTGTCGTTAGCAACAACAACGGTAACACCGTCGCCTGTCCGCTTGTTTATTTTCCACATGGACCTTTCACAATAAAGCTCAAGATCCTGTTGAGACTTTTCAAAATAAACTGAATCATGTGAAAGAGTATGCAGAGTGCTTGCGGATGAGAAGCAAAAAAGAGCCGTCAGGTGCTAAAAAATAAACCTTAGACTCAAACGTTAGAACAGCACGCCGTGTAATAAATACAAAGAAAACGGCAGCTGTTACAGCTCATGTCTAAAAATGTATCGTTTCATGCATCGGTTAAAACATTCAACTCCAGGTACACGACGCTCAGCTGGAAACACTTCACGCAAGTCGAGCTGCCCGAGATTCACAGAATTTTCAGAAAATGTTAAATTTTTTGTGATTTATATCATTATCGGGACGATAGATGTCTTATATCGGGATATGAGATTTTGGTCATATCGCACAGCCCTATATGAGTGCTTGTGTATAAATACACAAATAATACACATATGCTTTCAATTATGTAATTTAAGTGATCTAAATAGCTCTGTTTTGGAAGTTCAGTTAACGCTAGACATGTGTTTTGGAGTTTGTAAGTGCTTTGTCTCTAGGGGCCACTGTATATATGTATATATAAACATATATACATAAAACCACATTTTTTTTTACATTAGTAATTCCTTTTGTGCATAATTTTATATTGTTGTTAATAATAAATTAATTTAAGCAACAAAACAACCTGAAGAGCCGATTGGGAGCCGAAAATCCGACTCTTTTTAGTGAGTCGAGCCGAAAGAGCCGGTTCTCTAAAAAAGAGCCGGAATTCCCATCACTACCACACAGCATGACTGAGAGAAACACGGGACTAAAATATGCGGAGGGATAACGAGGGAATGGGACACAGGAGGAGAGCACAGCTGGGAGTAATCAAACACAACAAGAGCAGGGGAAGCCAAACTAGCCACACTTACGCGACGAAGGCTGTGCAAATTCAAAGAGTCCTCCAAATGTGGCGACAAATGCCTCCTTGTTTTCCCTGAATTTGAAGGATTGGTCGGTGTGTCCTTCGGGTCCTACCATATCCCAGAATTCATTGCGGGCCATACAGGAGTTTTTCTGATAACGATGGCGGTCGAAGCGGGAGTTAATGCGGGAGAGGAAACACTTTCAAATGTAAGTGTATGAAAATCTGGTGCTACAAAAGTTACATTTTTATAGCGGTTGTGTTGTTAGGCTTTGGCTTCTGCATGGACATGTTTTTGTTTTTTAAATTAAAATAATCGTAAACTAGCTTGTACGGTGGGTCCCGCGGTTTTTACATACGGGTAATTTAGATTTTTCCAAATGAACCTTTTTGTGATATGTTTTAGGGACCAAAGATCAAACGGCTGACTTGATAAAAATGTGTGGTGCAGGAATAAATCAGTTTACACATCACATGAGGAACGTTTTATTAACCCTCATGCTGTACAGAACCTGTGATGTTCTCCTGTGAAAACTTTTGGATTTAGAGATTAACATAGTTGCCATGGTTTCCTCTCTTCTCTTATGTGTTGTGTGTGTGATCAGGACAATTCTGGGGAAGTTGGACCTGCAGGGGAAAGTCACTCACCTCGCAGGCCAGAAAGAAATGGGACAACTTAAGAAAAATACAAAGTACGTATGTGTGTTATCAAGAAGATAATTATTAAGAACACAAGTTAAGAAATGTACAATTACTATGAGTTGTGGTGTTTTTATTTGTCTACTGTCATTTTTGATTTCCTGCCTTTAGGATTGCAAGTATCCAGGGTCAGGAGAGGGGGTCAGTGGGAAGCCCACTGCTGTGCTTGGCCCTGGTTTGCCCTCATGGATGAGGTGATAGGACAGAGACTTTCCACTAAGCCTCCTGTCCTAGTGTCCTCTCTCCATGAGGACACTCCAGGGCCAAGCACAGCAGTGGGTGAGCAAAACATCAGCAAGGAGGAAGTGATGTGGAAGCTTATTTCAACTGTGTTTAAATGGTAAATGGTAAATGGCCTGCATTTGTATAGTGCTTTTCTAGTCCTTAAGGACCCCAAAGCGCTTTACACTACATTCAGTCATTCACCCATTCACACACTGGTGATGGCAGCTACATT